TAGATTATACGTTTAGTTTTTATGAGTGATTGAAGTTAACATTTCATCCGCTAGTAATTTTTGTTATGAATCAAAAGATTTTAACCTTTCAAGATACTTGAAACATTCCGCTATAAATTAAATAAATTAACATTTTCAGTACACAATGGAATTTTTAAAATATTTAGACTAAATTAAGGAATTAATTTAAAATGTATTAAAGGGTTTTTTTTTTAAGTGCACTTGATTAAAAGTTGTAGGGTTGGTTAAAAAGTTCAAAAATGTATACAAGATCCCACATTTTAACAAATCTTATCAAAATCATAAAAACTGCCAAATAGTTATTATGTAGTAAAAAATTTAATTTTAATAGCTAGGGCTTGACAATTGTATCTACCTATAGGTAATGTACACAATTTCTACGTAGGTACAATAGTTTTATCATAGAAACCTAAAAATCTCACAAATAAATAACTATTCAAATGAATAATAACCGCGATTTTATTTATATTTTGACGTAATTCAAACAAATATTATTCGTAAGGACTAGAAGCTTTATAATACGATGTATATTATTTTTATTATACATGCATTTTCGGGTAGTTAACTTACATATTATTAAATAATAACTATATTATTATTTGATTTACAAATTCTTTTTAAGCTAAATGAACCATCATACGGTACGCTTTCGGTTTAATGATAAGTTAATAACAATGAGAAATAGTATGATTAGTATGAAATAATGTTATTAATCATTGCATATAGCTGCAGGTCTCGATTAACATGTGGGAAAGGTAAGCGCGTACTTAGGTCCAGGCATTGGAGGGGGGAGTAGTTTTTAACGTGTCTGGTTGTATAATAGTATAGGTATCATAAAAATATAAATTCTAATAGTCTATATATAAGACAACATGTTCATATCGTCTAAAAAAGTAAAGAACTGTATAATTTTTTTCCAAATATTATATGACCGTCTTGACTCTTGAGAATGTTTCTGAGTAGGTACTACAGTTACAAATTGTACCGGAAAACGGTCATTCAGTATTAAAACAGGAAAAATTTGCATGCAATCCACTATGTCAAAAAAAAGATAAATATTTTCCTTAAATCTGGATCCTAAGTACTTAATATTATATGCAATTTGTTTTTGACAAAAAATATTTCAACTAACTGCATTAGTGAAATAACTTATCAATGGTAACATAAATACATGTAGTTTGAATTAAATTGGYAGCTTGGCAGCTTTAAAAAATTATAGGTAGACAAAATCGAATTTATTTATTTTTTGATAATTTAAAAAAATATAACATTAGAGACTTCAATATTTCTCAGTAAATATTTAAGATTTAGAATTTGTTTTTTATAAACCTGAGATTAATAATAATTACAAAATATGTTAGCGCTTTTTTTCTATGGATATTATATTTTATATTATAAACATTTGATATTTCCTGCTTTTTTTGTTACAAAATTCTCCATAAGTGATAGTTTTTTTCTTGCCGCAAATAATTTTATTGAAAATACATCAAGTTAATACTTATTGTTTATGTTAATTTTTGTAATGAGCATAAGTTTAAGCATACCTATGTAACATAAATAGTTTAATAATTTTTATTTTACTTTTATTAGAGTTTAGATTTTGTAGGCATTTTATTTTTTATCTGTTGGTATAACAAATCTATAAATGMTTAGAATAAAATGCTCAAGATTGTATTTTGTTTTTTTACATATTATTATTATTATTATTTATTGCTTCTTTTAGGATTTTTGGGTGCTTTTTACTTTTAGTTTTCTGTTTTATGTGTAACACTTTTTTTCAAATTGCGATCTAAATCAATGTATTCGAAAGGTTAATATTTATTTTTATATATATTATTATGATATGTTCCATTTTCCAAGGATATGGTTCAAAACCGATCTTATCTCGTTACATGTTTGATTTAATGGGTTGACTTTATTGATGTAACTTGGATAAGAAATTATATTACATGATTTAAAATATTGCAATAATTTATAACAATATTTTATCAGATTGTCGGCGACGTGACGTTTCTTATTAGAAAATGTTTATCGTTCAATGAAATTCAGATATAAAAGGTAATAAAAATACTTAATTTTTAAAAATAGTTTGATAAAAAAGCAGAATTTAAAGTAATATTTTATATTATTTTCTAGATTATCGTAACATACACAACTTGCTGTCACCATCAAATTTTTAAATATTATTTTTTATTTTCTATAGGAGTGTAGGTATTTAATTACAATTAAAAGTAACAATTAAATGTAATATGTTATAGGTATATATGTGTATATATAGTTGTATATCAAGTGATAATAAAACAAAATCAATACGCATCTAAAATTCAATTTTTTGTAGGTTTAAAAAAAAAGTTAAATTACTTTTTCAAGCTATCAAATCCAAACTTAAGTAATTACACATTAAGCACTTCAAACATTATATTCAAACTCAAATGATTTTAAGAAATAAATATAATTATTTTTGTATACAATAATTTAGAGTTATGACTGGAAGGCAGAACGATATTTTTTATACCACTATAACATTATAAAGGTGGAGAAATTGACCTTCCTTGCCCACTCCAGATTATTTTTAAATGAGTATCTGTGTGTATTAATGGATACGTATAAATTTAAGCTGTGTATGGTTATACATGTCTGTTGATTGAATATTTTTTTAATTTAAAATTTATTATTAYTTACTGGTATTTTTTAGTTARAAAATAATTTGATGGAAAAAAAATAGAAAAATTTAAATATCAATAGAAATATATAGATAATTAATGGGACACGGACTTAAATGTCTAAAATTGTGTGTGGTACCAAATTAAAAAGTTTGTAATACCTGTAATAGTTACAGTAATTATTTTTATACAGTTTTTCTTCATTTCATTTTTGATCGATTGGTAGATACATTTTGTACAAATGTAAAATAAATGCTCGTTGCTTGGGCTTAGCTTTCAGCAAAACATATGTGGGAGACAGCTACGTTCAGTACCACTAGTTCCCGAATGGGTAACCACACGGGTTTTTAGTGGCAAATTTTTGACACTCATATACATGTTTGAACTAACCGTACCAACCGTACCAACCGTACCAACCATACTAACCGTAACCTTTAAAATAGCAGCTAAAATTCCCATAGTTGCTGGGTTTAAGATAAAAAAAAATGTTTATCATAATATTACCATAATTTTCACAAATATTTTTTATAATTATCAACCTACTATATTATTCATAGTTTGTAAACTAAACATTATCTATAGGTAATCTAAGGATAATGTTTAACTATGAATTTTTTTCAAACTTGATATGATTGAACTATTTATTGTGATATAGTCTGTAAACTCGGTGGATAAAGAAAAATAGAAAATTGACTACTTCATCTCCATAGGATAAAGATTAAATACACTTTGGAGGTGTGGAAGCAAAGCCTCTCACGGTAACGCCAAGTTGTTTTATACAAAATGTGCAGAACGAAAAAATTTATAATTTAGCTTCTCTAATRTTACGACAAAATTCTGGTTAGGTTATAACTCATAATAGTTCAATGTTTATAACTAATGACTAGTATTTTGCATAATTAAATTAATTGCGGCGTTAAAATTATTATTTAACAATCAATTATTGTTGTATTCAAAACACTGCTGAGCATGCTYGTTCAACTCAAAAATTGTCAATTGGAAAATTGTTATCAAACAAATAAATATTCATATGTGTACAGTGTGTACACATATTTTATTCRTCGTTTTTCGAAGTTTTTTCGGTGATTTTGAACAGAAACATTTGAAAAATAATTACTTATGTAAAATATGATACCATTTGTTACAATAACATTTTGGTAAAAGCATAAAATGATTTTGAAAAGAAAACATTGTCTCCTTAATGGAAAAAACAAAATTATATAACCCAATTCGCTGCCCGTCTAGTTATTTTTTCACTCTCCAAAATAGATGATAAACTCAAGAATACCGGATCGATAATACGAGATATTTATTCATTGTTATTAATATTTATTAAGTACCTTATAATATATATTTGTAAATCATGTATGTAATTGTATAATTATTTACAATATACATTAAATATACAAAAGGTATACTCCGGTGGTATAATCCTATAATAATAATGATAAATAAATAATAATCTTATTGTAAAATTAAATTATACCTTAAATTGTTTAAATTACTTGCATTTATAATTTAATTATGCTTTTAAATTTTCATAATTATCTAATTGTTGGTTTTTCTTCACTGCCATATTAATTTATAACAAAATAAATAGGATATTGGCCCATGAAATAATGAAGMATTTCAAACGAAAATATCAACAAAAAAAACGAGTGGAAAACTGTGGTAAAAATTACGATTATAATACTAGTGCTGCGAGCTTTTAACTTTAATGGGCACAGCAAACACCTGTCGCTGTACGGTAATAATCATAACGACGTATGTTTGCATAACAATAATTATATAATTATAGCAATATATAGTAATAATAATATAATGTCATTCGTATTACATAACGTTGATCATGTCGCGGATAAGAGTTGAATAATTCTTGGAAAATAATAATTTAATAGCTTTACGAGATTACAGAATATTAGTCATACTAAAGTACCTCTGCCCAAAGTCTGTGGGAAAATACTGTTCGTCGTGCGTAGGTTGCCGTCGCGGTCGCGGCGTCGACATAATGTTCAAATAATAATAATAATATGATAATATATTATAATAGTGACGACGATGACTATGATGATGATAATAATAATAATAACAATGCGATCGCACACAAAACGAGTGTAATACCTATATCATTATTGTCATTTTCATTTACATCTCTATACGACTATTATACCTGATAGGTACGTCCTATTATAATGACGAGGCGCACGTGACAAAAGTTTAACGGCGGCGGCAGACAGCGCTGCGGTCGAGGGTCAGCGAAGGTCGCGTCGCCGCCGCTGACGGTTCAGACGACAACTGACGCGGCCAGCGTACGCGGGGAGGTAAAAAACGCGCACATACACGAGACACGACCGACCCGACCGCGCCGTGACTGGTGTAGGAAAAAACAAATCTTGCGCCWACGCCGCGCGTTCCGGGGGGATCGTATTTTTTCGACCGCGACACCACATCGCCGCCGCCGCCACTAGTTGATTCACGTTTTTCGTACCGGACGAGCGCGCGCGCGCCCGAACCACCACCGACCGTATCCGACGCCGCCCGGCCTCCGCCGCCGCAGCCACCGCCACCGCAGACCGTAGGGTCAAAATAATCGCATCCCATATCGCTCGAGCGCGTGTGTTCGTCTGTCCGTCCGTCCGCGTCTGTCTCGCGTCACACGCGCCCGCGCCACAACGCACGCCCATACCGTAAGTCGCCGCACACAAGGTGCCAGCGTTTTCGCGGTCTGTCGCAGACAATAATTTTTTATAATTATTATAACCATTACCGTAGTTCAGACTCGTGAACGAAAATAATATATTATTAAGAAGGAGCAGAAGACGACGACGGAGAAAAGGGATTCCGCCGGCCGATCGAGGAAACACGCATTATATTTCCGGTTAGTAACAATAATTATGATAATAATTAGGTATTTCTGTTATGTCCCTTCAACACCTAGGCTTCAAAATAATACATCAAATTTTATGCAATTGTTTATTATTAATAATTAATAACTATTTATTATACGAGCGCTCGAYCTTCCCCCTTTTTCCACGTCTTTCCCAAATTGCCCACTCGCTCGCGATTTTCTTGGCATTTTACGCGYGAATTTATTATTGGTGCACTGCTTGCAGTACATAGTGGGTACCTGCGCTCCACGCGTTCCGATGCAACGGTTATTTTTACGACTCAGGTACTTTTTTTTCGCCGCCGGTCGTAAATATTATAATATAATATAGTATTGTTTATTTTTGTTAAAACGCTTTTAACAACGAAACTATGTACATATTTTATCGCAACACGACTTGTCCCACAATCAAACAGAACGTTGTAGTCGTAGTACCTACCTGTAATCTGCAAATAGATAAATGATGCATTCTTATTATCTACATTTTATTTTATATATTTCATTATTTCCGACKATGATAAACCTATTAGTGAAACTTCGATGTTCACACTTATCATTATCATTTGAGTGACTTATACTTTCCTACATTACAACACATTGTTGGGACAGATTTAAAATTAGAACGGTTTAAACGAATGAATAAAGGCCGGCTATTAAAACCATTAAATATGCCAACAACAATAGTTGGCAATTTTTACTATCATGGTCAAGGATTTTTGGAAAAGTTACAATCTACGTATTTCATCTTCCGGTTTAACAAAATTTAAGGATATAAAGAAAACTATTTTTTATTTTAAAATATAAATAAACGGTTTTAATTTATGATATGTTTAAAATTTTAATACCCATATCTGCTATTAAAACATTTGTTCTTTTATAGCAGTTAAATGTGACAAACAAAATGTTCTTTTTAATCAAATAAACTTACAGGTTAGGTTAACCTACCTTAGAAATTTATAACTATAATGGCGGTACTACCTATAATGTATTTCTACCTGGAACAGTTGAATTGCAAATGTGTATAAGGGCTGCTCCCTGCAGAGAGTATTGTAAATTAAGTATTTTACTAAAAAAGTAAAATATTGTTTTRGCAATGGTACGAATACCGGTTGTGAGTGGGTGGGTGGGGGAAAGAGATGCCAAAATAAATCCACCCCAGCCGGTCAAACATGTGAGTTTGCTTCTGGTTACTTCAATAACATAATATACATGATAAATATCAGGATTAAAAATACATACGTTATAATAGTATTGCTTTATATTTTATGTTGTACGTACAAATATGTAAAAACAACATCTCGTTATTTTAAAGAGTATCGTACTTATATATCTATATCATTAATAAGTAATAAAAGTAGGTATGTTGTTTTAACATGATGTAAAACTAAGTTTAACCTTAAAATATATTCGTTAAATTTTGTTTAATAAATTAAATTGTTGCATATTAAGCAGGAACGCCAGGAAGTATACTTCCCCAATCGTGACCTTAACCTTGTTTTTTAGTGAAAACCTGCTCAACGAATATCGAATAAATGGCTCAATAATATTATTATCTACGTTATTATATAATTGTCATTAGGAAGTTTTTAATATTAATACCTACTATAAATTGCAAGTACACCGTGGTTTCTGTAATTTATATTATATTTTTGATCGCTAATATAATTTTTACGGAACCGTTATTACTCAATTTTATMTTTTGATTTAAAACTTTCGTTCCGCTGAACTATAACGTTTTTAACTGATTTATTAGTTATCATTATTTTTGATTCATGGTTTAATTTGATATGGAAATTTTAATTTTAAATACGTATAATAGTTAGTGTTTATTAGATTTAATTAATTGGAAATACAATTTTTATTGTTACAATATCGTAGGTATACGTGTAAAACAATTCAAATAAGAGTTAAACCGTAAATTTAGAAGTATGGATATATTATAGATATAATATATAGGCACCTATATGTATAAATAAAATGTTCGTAAGTAAGTAGGTATTTAATGWATATCGTGCATATGCGGTATGTCGAAGTTTTTTTTTTTTTCAAAAAGTCTGTGTTGACAAATATATCATGGATAAATCAACACAGACCACGGAACATCATATATAATATATATGGTTAAATATATATATTTGTAAATATACTCATACAACTACTTGTATAATATTACAATATTTAACTTTTTAAACATTTGCGTATACAATAGGGTCTAGAATTACCTATCTGGAAGTTAATATAATAACAGTAGATTAAATTTTATTATGAATGTATGAAATAGTTCAATTTTTCTAATCAAACATAATTAAAGTAACTTAATGATAATAATATATTAGGTAATGTTTGAATCAGCTTTGAAAAATTGTTTGCCTTAGGTACGTTACGGTATACGTTATTTAACAATCTAAACGTAAACTTTGGATACCATTTTTTATGCATTTCTTGAAGTACCTATTTAAATACTATATATCATGATGATGTGTGTATACTAAAATTTGAAATCATGCTTAAAATACTATACCGAAAAGATAATAAGATTTTTTTTGTAGAAATATTCAAATTAATAAATGTAGAATAAAGAAAGTAATCTAATACATTTCTATGGAGAAAACACTGCTAATAATTAATATACAAATAAGTAAACCATATAGATATAATTTAGTATGGTTGGAATCAAACGTAACTACCACCATGTGATTATACCTACATTAATTTTATTTTAGGTATTTAAAAAAATGTGATGTTTTAAACGTGCATTTTATATTTTAGAAAATATGATTACGTGAAAAAATGAATCTTTCATTGTGGAAGCACACCTTGTGATTATAATATGTTATCATGCTAAGCAGACAGTTAAGCTAATATCACTTGACGTTTCTTTGGTAATTGCATCTTAAAAATATATTGTATTTAAACCGTTTCACTTCCATTCTGTAGCCTAGAACTGTATGTTACATTGCAACATCACTCATGGGGTTTTAGAACTATGAAAACAGTCAACAATTACTGCATGTGTCACCTGACGCATATAAAWACTTTATATATGTATATAAAATATAAATATAATATTGTGTGTAAAATGAACATAATATTATCTATGATAAAATTTGAAAACTAAAATCAATAATTTTGTTTAATTTATTTAAAATATATATTATACCTATTATGTTTATAGTTTTACCTAAATTATACAGGTGCCTGTAAAACACTTTTGTTTGAGTAAAATTTTACCTTTCTAAGACTATAAAAGGCATCCGAAATGATTAATAAGGAGCAATAATTAATATGACTGCCCAATGAAAGTAAAATTTTTTTACTCTTTTATATCTCGCCTTGGGTTAGTGCAATTCTTTATTATTGCCACCAGGATATGCCAATTTATTGCCACATAATTTCACTTGTCTATATCTATTAGAACCATCATTCATCACATTCAGTAGAATAATTTAAATAAAACAAACAATATAATAGTCATTGCTAATCTAACTTCTCGAATAATCAGAATATAATACAACAAAAATGYATTGATCCCTAAGKATAATAATATTGGCTGCATAATCTTTAACAACAATAATAATAATWATTATTATTATTAAATCATACTTAATCTTACAATCAGTTAATTAAAACACTGTATTAAATGTAATTAAATTACATTTGTACCAAGTATTATACTTGGATAACTATTAAATATAATTATTTAAGTTTAAATAAATTATTAAAAACATTTTTAGGAACGGTTCTTATATAGTATTAGTTGTAATTTTACAAACATTGGTGTTTGCAAACATTTTTACTTTTAGACATCCAATTCTTTACGCATAATCCAACGTCTAGACATACACAACTGTTTAGGTATTTCAGTTTAAATTCAGAGTATAGATGGCTGGATTGAAAATAATACCAGTCGCACCCATTTATCGTCCCTTTAACATTCGATAAAAGTGGCAATGACGCTATACGCGTATATTTGACCCACAATACAGGTAAAATAAATTATGATTCTATTGTATACGCATAACATAATCGTATACATATATCGAGGGATATCTTATATATTATTCCTCTAACCTTTCTACTGTTTAATTTATGAATTTTATCTGATGTATTGTAGGGGATAAAACGACCAAATGTGGTATCTATTAATCCACTACAATTTCAAAAGAATGTATAGGTGTGGACGGYATGGTAACATAAAATATTTAATTGTATTTAGTAATAATTCAGAATGATAGTCAGTAGAACATATTTCTAATATTGATTAATTTCCATGCAACTATTAAGTGAACTATAATGTCCACAATTAACATTTAGAAAAAATCTCATCATGTATAATCATAAATGATACTGTTAGACGTTTTCAGAAAATTCAGGATAACATAATATGTATATTTTTGTTGATACAAAATGTATGCTATTATTTAATATTAGATTAGACCAATGGAAATTAAAATAATTGAACAATGAAATAATTTAGTATTTAAAACGTACATTATTTTTATTTGGRTTAATAATATATTTCGTATATTAACCTGAACAGGAAGTATGGTATKAATATCATATTATTAATTGTTTTTTCTCTCCGATCGATGTCGATATAATAACATAATATAAGGCGAATTCACGTTAGCTTGAATATCAAAGTGAATTGAATATTATTACTTATTGTTAAGAACATTATTTATGTAGGTATTCACTTTCAATTGTTTACGTTATTTAAATTTCTTTGTGATATCCTATAAAATGATTTTTTAATTTAAATATTTTTCTCAAATATTTTACGTAGGTACTCATAACTTGCATACAAATTGAATATTACAGTAAAATCAAACCAAACGACACACACACATATAGGTTTTAAAGTAATGTTCTTAAGTCTAAGTTTGATTATAGGTCAATTCAATCTAATATTGAAGGTAATAAATAACAACACAAGATTGGTTCTGCTGAACGAAAATTCTTATGTTGTGGTTGGCCCAGAGAGAGAAAAC